ACGACGACGAACACGAGGAAAGACAGAGGACGACGTAGGCGACGACGACGACGACAACGTCGACGACGACGAAGACGACTAACGACGCCAACGCCGACGACGACGACGACGAAGCCGACGACGACGTCGCCAACGAAGACAACGAGGAAGGAGGTGAGGACGACGACTGCTGAAACGGTACGACCACGACGAGGGAGGGAGGAGGGAGGACGGCGACGACGCGAACGACGAAGAAGGAGGAAGTGACGGGCGACGTCCGACGACGGCAACGACAAGGAGGAGGGAAGACGACGACGACGACGATCGACCGACGACGACGGCTAACGACAATAGGAGGGACGACGACGACGACGGCGACGAAATAGGAGGGACGACGACGAGACGACGACGACGGACGACGACGACGACGTGGGAGGAGGAGGAAGGACGACCACGGCGACAACGACGACGGAAACGACCACGACGCCAAAGAGGACGACGACGACGAACACGAGGAAAGACAGAGGACGACGTAGGCGACGACGACGACGACAACGACGCGGGAGGAGGGAGGACGGCGACGACGACGACGACGACGACGCAAGAGCGCGCGCGCACGCTTTTGCTGAAACTCCGTGTATCGAAACCTTGTGTTTTTGTAGGTTTTTTGGACACACGATTTTGAAATCCTTCCGAAACCGATAGGTTTTGAAGGTTTTCGGCATACGCGCGCGACGACGCGCGCGTCTGCACTTCGTCCCATTGTTTGCAGGGGATTCTCGCGACGGCACACGCGCAAGGGCGTTCGACAGATTTCGACATGAGCGCGCGAAGCCCGTTTGGTAGCATTTTGTGAAAATCTTGAAAAACCAATAGTTTCCTTTACATTTCGCAAGAGCTTTCGCGGAAGCTGTTTTAGCAACTCTGTGTTGCGAAACCCTGTATTTTTGTATGTCTTTTGGAAACTCGATTGCGAAATCCTTCCCGCACCGAAGGCTTTTGAAGGATTTCGGCATGCGCGCGCGACGACGCGCGCGTGTGCACTTCGTCTCATTTGTTGCAAGGGATTCGCGAAAAAGTGCTATGTTAGAACAAAAAATGTCACCGCATAGTGTTTTTTACTAGGGAACCTCAGGGGGGGAACCCGGTTTGGCTGGGATGATATGATTTCATATTTAGGATGGACGAGTGTGCAGAATACATATATATATATATAATAATATAGATATATGTGAAATTCATGCTATCCCAGGGGGAAGCGTTAAGTTCGGGGGGGCCGATAAGTTCGGGGGGTAGAGTCTATTTCTTTTTAGAAAGGAGAAAATCTACAGAATCTTACGGGGTGCAACATCTGTAACGCAGTCGATGTTGTGACGCGAACAACCACGCGCGCCGCAGAGGCGAACAAACAACATCGTGAGATCTACGTGCTGCAATCTACGCGGGCCCATATACGCGGTGAACTAGCTTCGGTGCAATCTACGAGGAAATTTTCAATTTCTGTTCGCAGTGAGTTGTCCACTCCACTGCTCGCGCAAACATCCCACCCACCCACCCGCAACTTGGTTTGCAAAATCTCTTACAACAACAGCGACGCCGACGACGACAGCGACAACGACGATGACGACGCCGCCGACAACGACTACGACGACACCGACGACGACTCCAAGGACTTCGACGACGCCGACAAAGACGACGACGACGACGACACCGACGACGACGACGAACGACGACGACACCGCGGCGACGACGAACGCCGATGACGAACGGACGACGATGACGACGCCGACCACGACGATAACGACGACACCGACGACGACGACGACGTCAACGACGCCGACGACGACGACGACGACGACGACGGCGGCGACGACGACGACGACGCCGACGACGACGAAGACGACAACGACGCCGACGCCGACGACGACAACGTCGCCAACGAAGACAACGAGGAAGGAGGGAGGACGACGACGGCGACAACGACGACAACAACGAGGGAGGAAGGAGGACGGTGACGACGCGAACGACGAAGAAGGAGGAAGGACGGCGACGCCGACGACGGCAACGACGAGGGAGGAGGGAAGACGACGACGACGACGACAACGACGACGACGACGGCGACGAAAATAGGCGGGACGACGACGAGACGCGACGACGGGACGACGGACGACGACGACGACGAGGGAGGAGGAGGAAGGACGACCACGGCGACTAACGACGACGAAGACGTACAACGACGCACGAAGCCGGACGGCGACGACGACGACGAGACGACGACGACGTTCGCCAACGAAGACAACGAGGAAGGAGGGAGGACGACGACGGTGACAACGACGACAACGACGAGGGAGGAGGGAGGACGGCGACGACGCGAACGACGAAGAAGGAGGAAGGACGGCGACGCCGACGACGGCAACGACGCAAGAGCGCGCGCGCACGCTTTTGTTGAAAATCCGTGTTGCGAAACCTTGTGTTTGTAGGGCTTTGGGGGCACACGATTTTGAATTCCTTCCGAAACCGATGGGTTTTGAAGGTTTGGGGCATACGCGCGCGACGACGCGCGCGTCTGCACTTCGTCCCATTTTTTGCCGGGGATTCTCGCGACGGCACACGCGCAAGGGCGTTCGACGGATTTCAACATGAGCGCGCGCGAAGCCCGTTTGGTAGCATTTTGTGACAATCTTGAAAAACCTATGGTTGTCTTAAGATTTCGCAAGAGCTTTCGCGGAAGCTTGTTTAGCAACTCTGTGTTGCGAGACCCTGTGTTTTTGTATGTTGTTTGGAAACTCGATTGCGAAATCCTTCCCGCACCGAAGGTTTTTGAAGGATTTCGGCATGCGCGCGCGACGACGCGCGCGCGTGCACTTCGTCTCATTTGTTGCAAGGGATTCGTGAAAAAGTGCTATGTTAGAACAAAGAATGTAACCGCATAGTGTTTTATTGCAAGGGAACCTCAGGGGGGGGAAAACGGCCTAGCTGGGATGGTATGATTTCATATTTAGGATGGACGAACGTGCAGAATACATATGACATCATACTATCCCACGGGGAACCGATAAGTCCGGGGGGGGTAGAGTCCATTCTCTTGTTAGAAAGGAGAATCGATCATGCACGATATAGGTTGATCACTCTATGTGGTGCAATCCGTACTGTGCAATATACGTCGTGCAACCTAGTTGTACACTATATGTGGTGCAGTATGGTGTGCAGTATACGTTGTGCCATCTACGTGGTGCAACGAATGGGGTGCAATACATGTAACGCAATCTATGTTGTGAGCAAACAACAAGCGCGCCGCAGGCGTGAAACTGAACCGTGACAGCTATGTACTGCACGCGGGCCAGTCTGTGTGGTGCGCTTTACGTGCTGCAGTCTGCGAGGTGCAAAAAATGAGGTGGAATGTATAAGCTATTCCATCGATGTGATGTAATCAACACTGTGCAACATGCGTAGTGCATTATCTGTTGTGCAGTCTACATGGTCAAGTATATGCTGTGCAGTATATGTTGTGCCCTCTACGCGGTGCAATATATATATATATATACATAAGATACAATATGTGTTGTCCAGTCCATGTGGTGCAATGAATGATGTGCAACGTATGCTTTGAAATCTTTGCTGTGCAGCCTATGTGGTGCAATAAATGCATATGTGCATGTGGATGTACAATGAATGTGTTTGAATCTCTGTGGCGCAATAGATGTAACGCAATCGATGTTGTCAGCGAGCATCAAGCGCGCCGCATGCACGAACACAAATACTGCCCTCCATGAGCTGCACAATACGCAGGGTAATATATGTAGTGCGCTATATTTGGTTCAATCTACAGGGTGAAATCTACGAGGTATGTTCAATATATGTGTTGCAATCAATGTTGCGCAATGTATGTTATGCATGTTATGTTGTATACCACGTGATGCAACATATTCGTATGTGCATGTGGCAATGCAATGTATGTGGTGCAGTCTACGTGGTGCAACATATGGGGTGCAACCTATGGTATGGGCGATCGAAGAGCGCGCCGAAGGCGCGTTTTGTTGTACTTGCAATCCACGCGGTGAAGTCCAAAGGCGGTGACGTGCGGCGGCGGGGCGGCGACGGCGGCTACATAGCCACCAGACCGAAGACACGGCCCAGACGACGGGCGGCGACGAGGTGGCGACGGGGCGGCGACGGCGGCCACATAGCCGACAGACCGAAGACACTGCCCACTTCCCTAGAACAGGAGTACGAACCCCTAAGTGCAAGCACAATGGGGAATATACACTTTTGGCGATCGCGGCCTCGCGCGCACCGACGAGGCGGAGAAAGTCTCCAAGCGAGAAGCGCGCGCGCGCGCGGCTGGCCCCTCATGATAAGAGCAGGGACCCTATTGGATCGACCGTTCTATGCGCATACATGGGCGTGGGCAGCGAGGGTGCAATGGGTGCAAAGAAAACCCCATGGGCAGAAAGAGGGTGCGCAGTGTGGCCGGAGGCCAAGACGGGATGCGGGGCAGTGAAGGCAAAGGCAGCAGACCGACTCGAGGCCGCCAGAGGCCAGGCGACCATGCGACCTGCCGCGACGAGCCGTGCGGCAGTGAGGCACAACGGGAGGGAACCCGGGGAGCCCAGCCCAACAGGGCGCAGTGAGGGCAGCCACAGACAAGCCGAGGCGCGCGACACACACACTGACTACCTACCAGACCACCCCAACCCAAACCGAAGACCCGAATTTCGGGTTGGGGGGGGTAAGGGTTCCACATGGGTTTTTCCGATGTTTCCCGACCCCCCCCCACTGGAAATCGAGGGTAAATCTGAGCCTTCGGGTTGGGTTGGGGTGGTTTGGTGGGTGGTGACACACACACCCACACACACACACACACTTTTTGCGTCGGCGGCTGGGCAGAGTGACTGCGCTGGCGGATGGGGCAAATGTAGGGCATACAATTGCCACACACACACGCACACGCACACACACACACACACACACGCACACACACACACACACACACGCGCGCGCGCGCACGATTCCCCTGTCGCCTCGGCAACCCGTCGCTCGGAGTCTTGGAGGTCGCGCGACGCCTGACCCGACCGGCGACGAGGAGACTGCAAGCGGACATCGGCGGACGCGGGACAAGGAGAGGGCGAGAGCCAGAGGCAAGAGGGGCACGAGCGGCGGGGCACCCAAGCGGGCCGGGGCGGCAAGGGCCCGTCTCCAAAATGAGCTCTCGCGCGGGACTGTGACGATCTAGACCGCCTGGGCCTTCCAGTGGGGGACAAGTACACGGACGAAAGGCAAACCTCTTTCAATACGGGCGATTGCTCGACACTTGCTTGAGCTCAAATGGCCCTTACATGCCGACAGTTCTGGTAGCTAGAGGGGTGGACGGCGGTTTCTTTCCCAAGGAGGCTGTCGCAAGGCCGGCCTACGGAGCGCTCGTCTCTCGGGGGGAGCGTTCCCTTGAGGTGAAAAATGGTTGGAAGGATAATGGGGCGAAGACTTGCAATGGAAGGTGCATTGCAGCAGCATTGGTGCATCCTTTACGCGTGTCCTCATCCTCTCCTGCTCCCCCATATTCCTCGTCCTCGTCATGGTGATGAGGAGAAGGAGGAAGATGGTGGTGGTGATGATGATAATGATCATCATTATCAGCAGTAGCATCATTATCGTGCGTGCAGTCGTCAACAACGGCATTGCCGACATCATCACCACCACCACCACCATCACCACCGCAACCACAACTACCACCACCATCATCACAATCATCAGCAGCAGCATCATCCTCAGCAGCATGACAATATGAATAGTAGTCATCAAAATAACATGCGAATAATATTGTTTTAAATGGTACTCCTGAGAATCATACTAATACTACGACTAGTAAGAATACGAACCATACAATTCATTGAATATAAACAACTAATACTTGTAATAAGAAGCACACTAATAATACACACAAGTATCGTCATCAGCAGCATCATCATAATCAGCATCAGCATCATCAACATCTTCATCAGCAGCACCATCATTGGTGCCATCATCAACAGCAGCATCATCCTAGCCATCATATCAACATCATCATCATCATCATCATCATCATCATCATCATCATCATCATCCTCATCATCATCATCATCATCATCATCATCATCATCATCATCATCATCATCATCATTAGAAGCATCAGCAGCAGCGGCATCATCAGACAGCATCATCATAATCATAATAACCATCATCCTCTTCAGCATCGTCATCGTCATCATCATCATCATCATCATCATCATCATCACCATCATCCTCATCCTCATCCTCCTCCTCAACCTCCACCTCCTCATCATCATAATCATCATCACCGTCATCAGCATCATCATCACCACCATCATCATCATCACCATCACCATCACCATCACCATCATCATCATCATCATCCTCAGCAGCAGCAGCAGCATCTTCATCATCAGCAGCATCATCATCAGCATCATCATTCTCATCGTCATCGTCATCGTCATCGTCGATACTCCCACTATGTAAAGAATCCAAGCGGAAGCAGGCGCGCATAGAGTCCGGGCCTTTGCCACCTTTCCAGGCGAAACCAGCACCTTTGCCTTTCAGCCAGGGCGC